TACATTAAGTGTAGTAACAAAAAAAAAACAACTTAAATTATACCAATCTCACCAATACCAAGCCGCACCGCATATCTGTAGAGTGTATGATGCAAAACAAGACAAACGACACAACAAAAAACCCACCGAGATAAGTGAGAAGACAAAAGTCCCTTCCTACCTATGTAATAAATTACCTTATGCCTTAGCATACCTATGTAATAAATTACCTTATGCATTAGCCTACCTATGTAATAAATTACATTATGCCTTAGCCTACCTATGTAATAAATTATCATGTCTCAGCCTACCTATGTACAATTCATTTAGCTAATTTTTATGTAGAAAGAAAAGAAGGAGTAAAACAGAAGAAACAATACTGCCACACAAACAATGTATGTGTGTATGTATGCAAGAGCAGCAGCCTACCACACCACGTCACAAAACCCACCGCTAGAAAAACCACAAAAAATAATTACAGCAGAACAACACAAATAAAAAGAATAAAAATTTTTAAAATAAGCAGAAAAGAAGAAAACAGCGAAAACAATATTAACGCTAACAAAAAATACTTATCTTAATTTTGTGCCGATCATCATGACAACACATCACTGACAAAATGCGCTCAAAAAAACTCTCGTTTAATCTTCTGACGATGATACTACTCCAACCCATCAGACCATAAACGTAGGACATCATGCTCTGAAAATAATTTTTTATTGCTTTATTAAAAAAATTGATTATAATCACATAAATTAATCACATTAAGTGTAGTAACACGTAAAAAACTACTTAAATTATAACAATCTCACTAATACCAAGTCGCACCGCATACATGTAGAGTGTATGATGCAAAACAAGACAAACGACGTAATAAATTACCTTATGCCTTATCCTACCTATGTAATAAATTACCTTATGCCTTAGCCTACCTATGTAATAAATTACATTATGCCTTAGCCTACCTATGTTATAAATTAGAATATGTCTCAGCCTACCTATGTACAATTCATTTAGCTTATTCTTATGTAGAAAGAAAAGAAGGAGTAAAAGAGAAGAAACAATACTGCCACACAAACAATGTATGTGTGTATGTATGCAAGAGCAGCCCCCAAGAGCTTTCTACCACACCACGTCACAAAACCCACCGCTAGATAAACCACAAAAGATAATTACAGCAGAACAAAACACAATTAAAATAACTAAAAATAATT